TCCTAATGCCAAAACCCCAGACCAACCTCTCCTGCTTATTGCAGGGCACTAGAAAGCCCTGACTACCCTTTATCCAGCTGTGAAAATTGTGTCTCTTTCCTCTTGAGCTGAAGTTTTGCATTACCTTTGCTGCACACTGAAAAGTGAAAATTAGGGGGCAGCATAAAAGTTCAGTACAGGTTTTAAATTTAAAACATATCAAACAGCCAACAGGAGACACTGCACTGATAGTATTATTTGGTTTCATGTGTAGGTCAATAAAAAAAATGCTGCATTTGAATTTTATTTGCAGCTTCCTCAGAACACAGAGTTCAGTGCAAAATTCAGCATGTGCTGCAGCAGCTTCACAAATCAGGGGGCAGACCTATAGACTTTAGGTCCAGTGTGTTGCGTTACATGGGGCCCTGCACATGCCGAGTCCACTCCTGGGCTCTCCCATTGAGTCAGAGCATGCATGGCAATGATTAGTTATTTACTTGGGATCAGACTGTTATATCAGGCCTTGTCTATACTGAAAAGGGGTTGCTGGTATAGCTATATGGGTAGAACTAGGCTTTGTCTACACTAAAAAGAGTGTGCAGTTATAGCAGCATTGGCAACCCCTCTAGGGGAGTGCTTCTGTGGGTGTAGCTTATACCAGTTCCCTGAATGGAATAGACCATACCGGCAAAATGACTTTTTTGCTGGTGTAACTGTGTCTACATAGCATAGCTGTGTCATGTTGGGATGTGATTTTTTCACACTCCTAGTGAATGATATATGCTGGTAAAACTTTCTAGTGTAACCAGACCTCTGTCATTAATAGGTAACAATGTCATATTGCTGCATATGGAGAGCTCTTAACTTGTCACAGCTGTGCAAGCCAATTACTCACATGGCTATGTTGCAAGCAGTGCATTACAATGACAAGGAACTTTACGGAATGAGGCGACATTGCACTTATTTACCAGTGGAGAATAGTGAAAAATTATGTTTATGTTGTGAATACAGGGACAGAGAAGTTGCATGAATTTGTGACTCAGACTGTTACTCACTGTACTCAAAGGTGTCACATTTTGACTAACAAAGGTAATTTTGTAATGTCTTCCCAAACCACAAGTTAGAATAAGGATTAAATAATAATGACAAATAACAGAAGCTATCAGGAGAAAGGAAAGATGATGTTTTGGTTGGAGGGAATAAAAAACCCCACAAGCTATTAATAAAATCTGTGTTCTTCACTCCATAGGAGCATAGGGCTACAGTGGGGAGAGAGGACTCCCCCCAGCTCTCTCTTCCTGCAGCAGCACCTGGGCTGGGGAGGGAGTGGTGTCTCTCCCCACCACAGCAGTTCCGGGGCTGGGGCCGTGGGATAGGTGCCCCTCCACTAGCTGTGGCAGGTCTGGGTTGGGATGGGGGAGGGGTGCCCCTCCTTCAGCTGTGGCAGGTCCGTGGCTGAGTTTGTGCCTAGGGAGGGGCGCCCCGGCCACAGCAGGTCTGGCCAGGGCTGTGTTTGGGCCACACCTCCCCCAGAGGCAGGTCTGGCCGGGGGCTGTATTCGGGCTGCTTCTCCCCCGGCTGCGGCAGGTCCCGCAGGGTGGGTTCGCTGAGCACCTGCACTGTGCTGGCTTACAGGAAATTTATCTGCCAATACCCTCAGCTTTCCCCACCCATTGAGGCAAGTGGGTGACATTTTTTCAGTACTTGAGGGCTGGTCTACACTACAAATGTTTACCGGCAAAACTTGTTTCTGTTGGCACAGCCTTTTATGTGTCCACACTCTGTTTTGAATCATGCTGATAAAACCCTGAACTTTTGCTGGTGAAGTTAAATGCAGGTCCCCAAGCAAGCTAAGCTTTCCCCAGTACCATCCTACTGGCACAATGCCTGTGTGGACAGAAGTACCTGTACTGGTACAAGCAGTCCTCCAGCAACAAGCCCACAATGCATCTGTATCCACATCAGTGACCACTCTGGTGAAAGGTAAAATATTTGTTAAAACAAAAGATAAGCACTAAAAATGAGGTTTCAGGGCTGATGTATCATTATTTTGAATATGAATTTTGCCACTTGGGCTTCTCCCCAAGCAAACTTGTCAGCCCTTCTATGACAAGAATGAAATAAAACAGGTGATGGAGCAGAAGGGCTGCTGATAGGATGTTACTCACAAGACATTGCCAAGCCTAGGAAAAGCTTATATTCTCCTATAGGCTGGAGGGGTCCCTATGGCACTAAACTCTGACTGCCAGCTCTGGCCTAAGAGCCGAAACAAGAGGATAAAGCTCTGTTAAAGCATCTCACACTTTAATTCTTCTTAAGTTCTGCAGTGCTCAGTAAATCCACACAGCCACAGGGTGGATACATCTGCTTTCCCACCATCAATCTCATAGTACAGGAGATCTCATGGAGAAGAATGAGCCTTCTAATCTTAATCCAAGAGAGACAACTATGGTACATTACAACTTGGATGACACTATTCCTTCCTAATGCCATTATCAATGCCCTCTCAAGCTTGATATGATAAACAAAGCACTCAATTCCTCAGAAGATCCTGGTAGAGGGAGGAGCTATGTTAGGAAAATCTACAAGAAACTCAAGGCTGGTCTACACATAAGTTTTATGGGTATAACTAGTTCAGTTAGGGGTGTGATTTTTTTAAAAACAAAAATGATTATACGAGTAAAAGCTCTAGTGTGGATGCTGTTAAACTGGTATAAAGCTCCCTATACTAGCATAGTTTATTCCTTTTCCTATTTGGGAATAGCTTTACCAGTGTAAAGCACCTTTACACTGATATAACTGTACGCACACTATGGGGTTGTACCACTTTAACTATACTGCTATAGTTACAGTGGTACATATTTCTAATGTTGACAGAGCTTTAACACGTATTTCCTACCCATCACCCCACAGCATCAAGGTTTTATCTCCAGTTACCAAAAAAAAAAAAAAAGTACTGTGAATTGAGAAATTATAAAAACTTCAATATGTCCCAAAAAGGTCAAACAAACAGCATTTCTGTGAAGACGTCCTATAGCAGCAGTTGTAGTTGGAGCTGATTGTTCAAACTTTTCAAAGCAGCAGCCAGCTAATAAGTCAGATGGTACTGGCTGTGCTATGGTATTTTAAATATGCTGTGATCCAAATGAATGACAATGTAATTGCCCATAAAAGCCCTGCACCCAACAAATGGTCACATCAGGTTGCTGTTCAGTTACAGTGAAAAACTGAAATGACAAAGCCAACTACATATATATTTTTTTCAATTTAAACATATGGGAAGAGAACAGATCTTGTCAACACAAACTGTCCTGCAAGGCTGCAGCTTGGCACCAGCTCCAGCTGTGCACAACAGGCATTTCCCCTCAAGCCGACAGCACTATGCACAAGACACTGAAGAGGATCAGCATCTTTCCTGATCTACTCCTTAAAGAGCACTTAATGCAGCGAGAGCTTTGTCAAGGAAATACAGTATGATCCTAAAGTCACACTGTGAGATTAAAACAGTTTTTTTAAAAAAAAGCAGTAGGCATTTTATTCAGAGTTAAAGATAAATTACTATCCCTCAGTTTTGCTAGCAAAAAGGAACGAAGGTAAGTAGACAGACCAATCAACGAAAGCCCCGTGAAGTTGTATCATCTCTCTCTCAGGGCTTATATGCTCACCAAAGTTATACAACTTTAACTATATCAGGATAGTTAAAGCAATTCAGCCCCCCACCATGGATGCAGTTATATTGGTAAAATGGTGCTTTATACTGGTAGAGCTATTCCCATGTAGGGGAGGGAATAAGTTATACCATTGTAAGGCATCTTTATATTGGTATAACTATTAGTTGCTAGGAGGGTGGGTTCTCTCTACTACTCTCCTTCCTGGAAAGATTCAAGTCTGGCTTTAATTAACAGTATTTTTTTTTAATTACAGTCCTTTTCAGAATTAAATACATTTTAAAAAACACAAAACAGCTACACTCATTCTGAAAAAAGAAGAACAGGAGTACTTGTGGCACCTTAGAGACTAACATTCATTCTGAATCATCCTATCCAGGTTTTGAAGCCACATTCGATCAGATGCTTCTAACTAGTGAGAGCATTTCCTACTGTTTACCATGCAAAAGGTAAGAAACCTGAAGCATTCAGGGCATGACCATGCTTCCAGACTGTCCCCATGTGCAGAGATGTTCAGACTAACATTTAGCTTCATGCCCCATCTTTAAGCTTTTTTGGACTGCTGTAAGATCTGGACTGATTGCCCCAGCAGCACTTTATTAACCTATTGACACAATATCTATATTAGTAATGATATTAGAAAAGAAACTACAGTAGAGTGGGAAGAAATTCAGACCCAATTTAAGATTTCTGTATTATATTTGATGAAATTATTGCCAGTGATGGCTATTCTGTACTGCAACTGGTAACCAAATGAAGTCTGGGTAATGTTTGGGAGGTAATTCTAAGAGGATAGAGAGAAGCAACTGTCCAGATATAAAATACTTCATTTTCTATAAATATTTTCTACTCCAAAAGTAAGAGTAGTTTGTGGAAGCAATGGACTAGTCCCAAGAACCAGCCTTTGTGGGTCTTCAAAGATTAGAAGAAGAATGGTCTTGTGATTTAGACTCAGCAAATCTAGAATCAATTCCTACATCAGCAATAGAGTTCCTGACCTTGGACAGGTCACTTCAATTCTCTACCTCACTTTCCTAGATGTAAAATGAAGATAATACAGCTGACTTTCTCTCCGCCTCTGTCTTGTCTATTTTAGACTGTAATCCTTTCCCACCAGGGGCTGTCTCTTCCTATGGCTGTTCAGTGCCTAGCTCAGTGATACTGTATTAATAATAATGTGATGCCCCTAGCCACAGGGCCTCCCCCTCGCCCTGTTTGATGTTTGGTCAGTCAGTCAGATCAGGAAAATTTAGACGGAAGAGAGCAACTATAGTAAGCTTCCACTTATGTATTTTTGTGATTAAAGTGACTGTCGCCAACCATGCTTATTAGAAATAAAGACAAACCCTGCTCTTAGAGGTATGTACTGCATATTAGCAGAGAACTTGTTTAATAATTATTAATTTAAAGTGCAACCTACTGAAACATTGATTTGTCAGGCCTAAATTCTTGGCACATGAAAGTTATTCTTTAAACAGATTTCGGTTACTCAAAAGTTTGCTAATGTACATACATGAGGGAATCAAATAGATTGTACCACGCAAGTCCCAGGAACATTAAGATATAATAAGTACTTTTTTCCTTGGAAGGAAGAGGAAGGTGTTCAGAAATTAAAAGGGCACTGAAGTTTATAAGAACAAGCTTATAATGATAGCTTACAATTTACAAAGTTAGTAAGTTTTTACAGTAAAAGATAGTAAGCATAACAGTGTAGAAGTCTGTAGGTTGGTTCAGATCTTTGGTTCACTATAAAATTCTATAGCTTACTCCAATGTTCAAGAGCCCTAAATTTTGTTCAAGTAGCAGTAATGATAAAATAGCATAAGCAATTCTGCATTCAAGTTGACTGATATTTGTTGGAGTTTTGTGTTTTTTTGTGGTCTAGGCAGCTCAGTAAGTTTGACTTGATGTACTTTGGTTGGCCAATATTTATTGGCCAGACAAGCAGACCCAGTTTGCAGATATCATGGGTGAAATTCTGGCTGCACTGAAGTCAATGGCAAAACTCCCATTGACCTAAATGAAGCCAGAATTTTCCCCACACTATTTAGTTGGTTTTTTTAAAGCTAACACACCACAACACCCTCCCCTCAAACACACATGAAAACTGAAAGTTAGTTATTTGAAATTGTAGGCCCTTAACTGCCCTTTTAGATGCTAATTAAATATAGTGGGTTCCATTTCTGCTACATTTGTTTCTAGCTACCCAAGCCAGTGTTGTATTACCACACTATGGTGATATGGAGGTTTATTGTCATTAAACACACAACCTGAATTAAGCCCTGCTTTCCTCCCTCCCATACTTTTACATTTTAATAAAGCAGCATGGAGTAGCAGTGCTGCACAAGCACCATGACCCTAGACCAGAACACTTGTCTTCACTACTGCTGCCACAGGTAGTGGGGTAGGTCATTTTGATTAGCAGTTTGGTAATGGTAGTTAAGGTGACTAAGAAGAAAGTCATTATTTAGAATGTGACTACTTTGCTCTAGATAGCTTTTTATTTAAAAGGGAAAAAATTCTCCTAGTCACCACTACAGAGCAGTAAGGATTTTAGCACTGAAGACTCAGAGTGTGGTGCAGGAATTGGGGTGAATGCCCCCAAGAGCAAAGAGTGGTAGTGGTGAGAAATTAACACAAACAGACATCAGCTCTCTAACTTTGAGGACTGCTCTACATCTAAAACTTGGGTCAAACTAGCTACATCATCGGGGTTCTGAAAAATGTCATACCCTGCACAACAGTTATGTTAATCTAATCTTTACTGGAGATACAGGCTTGTCTTCACTCCAGGTGTAAATTGACCTAACTTATCCTACTCCAGCTACGTGAAGGATACTTACCCTGGTGTCTTCAACTGCACTGCATCAACGAGAGACTCTCTCCAGTCAACTTCCCTTACTCTTCTCAGAGAGCTGGAGTACCGGGATCGACCAGAGAGCTCTTTGATGTTGATTTAGCAGGTCTTCACTAGACCTGCAAAATCGATCTCCCCGTAGTGAAGACCAGCCCACAGCTAAGTCGATGGAAGAATTATTCCATTGACCTAACTACAGCGAGCCTCAAGTGGTGGTAGCAAGTGTCTACAATATAGCAGAGTAGCTGTGGCACTGCCACTATATAGTGTAGTGTAGGGTTTGCCAGAGGTGTACACATTCAGCAATTTTATAAAGTGGTCTTAAAGAATTAAATAATCACTATAAAATGTATTCTAAAGTTAGCTAACTTGGGTAAAATCCTACTGCAGACAAGGCAGCTTGTAATTTCATGCAACTTGGCATGTCAAATTAAAGACTGTGGGGCACCATGGAGTTAATGTGACCTACTACCTAGTATGAAGGCTACATACTGCCTTTTCTGCACTAGGATTTTACCTCAATTAGCTAACTCAGCACTACAAAAAAAGTGTGTTCTGAAGTCATGTGGCTGTGATGTCATAAGGTGGGGGAATTACATATGGCTGGCTGATCCGAGCCTATGACACTTTTTGGATCATGAGTTGCGTTTTCTATTAAACAATCTCTAGAAGGTTTTTTTGGTGCCAGCAATTAGAATTGTTATATAGAAGTATAATTTATAACAGTCTTCCCAAGTTCACTTCATTGTAAAGCTTGGAATCTAAGGATGAGGAATATATCATGTACATTGGGTAGGAATTTACTATATTCCACTTCAGATTCAATAAAGTGAACCCACTTGCACAGTTTAAGTGGTTGTCCTACCTTTCATAGTTGCAGCTAAAACTGAAATATTACATCTTTTGTACATTAGTCTTCCCACTAAACTATTTCTTTAGTATTATCTTACAATGTTTGAGTGCAAGCTTTTTAAAAAAACCTCACTCCATTTCTGGGAAAGTCTTATAAAATTAAATAGAGATGAAATCAGTAGAGTTATATAGCAGTTATTCTAAAAAACCCTACATAAAATTGAGAGAATGATACACCTTTGCTATACATTTTAAAAATCAAAACATCCTGTAGATCCCTACAGCGGAAGTCTCCCTTGAGTTCTATGGGACTGTTAAAAGAGCTGATAAAAAACCAAACAGTACTATTACAGTTCTACAGGACTTTTCCCATGGGAAAAAAAAGTCTGAAGATAAATTAAAAATAAAATCTTGATTACAAGTACAAAGACAAAACAGAAGTTTTCTATTCTGCTTTCATACTATAACATGGAATGTAAACAGTGTAAAAAGCCAGATATGTCCTGTTGGCTGCAGTTTAGAACTCATGGAAAGTATTCGGAGAATCTCCTCTTCATATTTGTCTTCATCTGAAAGGAAGAATGAAACAAGAAGGTTTCAGAGTAGCAGCTGTGTTAGTCTGTATCCGCAAAAAGAAGAACAGGAGTACTTGTGGCACCTTAGAGACTAACAAATTTATTAGAGCATAAGCTTTCGTGGACTACAGCCCACTTCTTCGGATGCATATCGAAGAAGTGGGCTGTAGTCCACGAAAGCTTAT